AATGCGTCACAAGAGTGTAAAATTACAGACTATCTATCTGCTGACGCAAGCAGTATCGATACATACAAAGAATCTCAGAATTCGATATCTTATATCACGTAGAGATGATACAGAGACAGCTGTATATTCATACGCTGTAAAGTGATATTGTAGACTGGCGAATATATTATTATAAATTTATTATTCTTCTGCTCTTCTCAATAACGTTTCAAAGATGTAGACTTTTAAAATTTAGATTCCTATCATATATAGACACCACTTTGTAAATCTTTTTTAGATAGCGACATAATTGTGGCCTTGACGATAAAGTGTTACGCCTTTTGATAAAAGCACATAAAGAGATCTCGCGTAAGAGAGGTAGTAATTGTTTAATTGTTCTCACGCGCGACTCTATCATTTCGGATTATTATAAAAATTTGAAAATTCTATCGATGTCTTGTCTCCCCCTTTTTTCCTAAGTATTTATTATCACTTATATGAAATGTATATGTATGTCAGAGTAATTATATATAAAATTAAGGGCTTGTACAACCAAAGAAGTAAATGCACTTATCAGCCATTTTATTTTGCGATTGAGTGGTGGAAGATCAATATGATAGAATTTATTATTATAATTAATCGAATCTCTTTTTTTGGGCGACAATTCTTACGCCCGCAATTAATACGATATTTCTATTCATGTATCATGCATAGCGAAATTATGATGGAGAACGAATCAGACGGAAGTTTTTTCTTCTTCACTCTTCCTGTCTTTTTTTATGTTTATGAAAGTTACATGTTTAAAAGAGTAACGTATATATTTTTTTACTTGTAAAATAGTGAGAGATGGCAGATGTTCGGCACGATTAATGAGAAAAAAAAATAAACTAGATTGTATTTTTAGATCTCAGGATTGACGTGTAAGAAAGAATGTATATATACATATATATATATATATATTTTATATACATATTACATATAATTTTTAATGTAATGTGTATATATATATTAAAAATATATATATGTATGTTTTACTTATTACATGTGTATGCTTAACGAAGAACTCGTATAAGCGATAAACAGCAGCAAACGCATTTAATCGGATCACATAGTATCCATTTTATAATCGTCGCGTTTATTTTTTATAATTATATATATATAAAGAATTTGTATATTGTATAGGATATACCGTAAGTTTAGTGTAAATGTATATACTTGTTTTTCGAAGATAAAAAGGATAATGTTGATAATTTATAAGGCTATTGTAAGAAGCAATAATGCATCAATCGTTCTCTAATCGACTCACTCGTCGAGAATTCCGAGTCTTTACTACTCGTTCTGCCTTTTCTCTTGCCAAAGTTCCAGTTACATATTTTTTTTTAACGCGACTATTTCCTCGAGACAATTGTGGCGAATGATTTAGAATCTAGTTGGAAAAAAAAATACCGGAATGTTCCGTCTCATTTCCATGAATGTTAAATCGCGTCTCGAGTAGTAAAGACAGCACTCGATCATGAAATCTTAAACCGCACGCACGAAAAATATTTTGTATTCGAGCGATATACACCAATTTTAACTGGATCGAACAGTTATTTTATACGAGCTTCGTATATTTATTGTAATTCAGATGTAAACCGAATTCTGTATATGTCCGTTATTATGTCTCAAGTAATCGTCGTTGAATAATCCGAGGTAAAAAGCTGATATTGTTGCTAAGGATATAATGTACTATCGATATATATTGTTGTTGAGATATACTGAGATAATAAATACTGCATTGAAAAAAATTTGGAATGTTACTTGGATTCTTGGAGATCGTCTTATTTCATCTCTTTTTCTCTCTCTTTATTTCTCATTAAAAGACTTATTAGAATTAGATCAAGAACTAAATATTTATCATTAAATTTACAGCGAAGAACAGCATATGCATTGATGAAAATGCAGATAGCATAATGCAAAATATTGTCGTGAGATATTGTCAATTACATATAGACGATTAGTTCTACGAATACTAAAAAGACTTAGTTATCGTTAATCAGCTATTTATTATCACTATATAGATGTCAAGAAATAATAAGTTGTACTGATAATTACTTGAAACTGACGGTATCAGTATGTGTAAATTCTAATCTATTTTATTCTAAGTAGACATCTAAGGTAGATAAGATAAAAAAAACAAAAACAAAAAATCATTAATATTGGAAATAAACCTAACAAAAGTGTCTGTTACATTTTTGTTATTCCAAATTACTAGCGATAGAACTAAATACTCACATTGTACATTTGGAATTAAGTTAACAAGTAAATAATTAAAGTAATCCCCTCTTTCCTCTTTCTCTCATTAATTCTAAAAAAAAATAATTTTAAAAATGAAAAAAAATGTCCGCGCTTCTTCGACCCGTCGCCCTTTAAATATGGCGTCGTCGTGAAGCAGAGGAGCTTTTCCATTTTCACGAAGTAATCATTAGCGATCGTCCGTTTACGCTTGTCGGTCAAACTGGTTAGCCTACAGCCTCACTGGATGTTTCCGCATTCCAAGATCGGCGTACTTTCCGAGGACGTGTAAAAGGTGGGTAAGGTTATCGATCCTTATCAGCGTATTCATTCAGGATTGGCGGTTTCCTGAAATCCGCGTGTCCGATCTTTCCAATTAATCGTGATCGGGGAGACCAATTACGGCCAACGCGACGATTAGCGACATCGTCACGTCAAACAACCGTGGCACTCACTTTTCTCGAAACCTTAGCGCACACGTCACCGATCGTCGTCGATTTCCACGTAAATTCAGAATCGGTCGCGATTTCTCTTTGCGCTAATTCTAATAAATTTAATCACATCATTATGTGTGCATGCGAATGATCGCTGACGTCGTTCGAATCGAATGATAAAAAATGTAATAACATAAAAAAACTCTCACATAAATAACGTAATAAATCGATAAATAAAAAAAATATATTAACTCTTGTTTAGGAAAGCCTTCATTTGATCGACGATTTATTCGATCTTATCCGGTAGTATCTATAAGCTGTTTTGTTATCTATTAACGCGAATAGAATATCTTTTTTAAACAAATTTAAACTAAATTGCATCTCCAAAGTTTGAAAAACCTGAAATTTTTTGGGAAATATTCGAAGAATTCTGGAAAGTTTCTTGGAATTCAAACCTGTTGTGTTTACGTTAATAAAACGTTAATCATCGTCAGCATCAGGTGTCCGTTATCCACTGTTTGTTCTGTTTATTCTTTGCTCTTGGATATTGTTGTAAGTATCAAAATCAATATCTTCATAAGTAACAGTGACAAGAAAAACAATAGGACATTAGGAGACATAAATCTCCTCTTAATCTCCGAAAGATTCGCATTGCCATTTCTCTCAATCTCTTCCTATATTTCTTTGGTTTCCTCTTAAAATAAACATAAAGCTGATTACCACAAAAAGTTAATTAATACTTAATAAAGTTGATGATACATTTCGAGTTTTGTTTAACTTTATTAATAGTACTTTTGTTGCATTTATATTTTTTTCTTGAGAAAACATCGAAGTTCGAATTACATTTCTTCTTTCAATTAACTTTAATCTCGGATTATTTTATTTTTTATTTTTTTCTAATTCTTAGAGTTAAAAAAAGATAAAAGGTAAGTAAACCAAGTAAATTAATCTAGATCCGGTTCCACCAACGTAAGATTAATTTTAATCTCGATCCGATTTACTTATTTAAATTCGAAAAAAGTAAGTTAAATTAGAAAACAGTAAGTTAAATCGATATTAAAGTTAATCTCATATTAGTAGAACTAAGCCTACACTAATCTACACTAATCTTTTAACTTACTTTTTATCTTTCTCTAGTTCTAAGATTTCGAAAGCATAAAAAGTAGAGAGAGAGAGAGAGAGAGAGAGAGAGAGAGAGAGAGAGAGAGAGAGAGAGAGAGATAAACATAAATTCATGACGATTTTTACCAAACTCTGATTAACTTAAAAAAATTTAAGTTATAATTAAAAAGCTAAGATAAAGGGCTACGAGTTAAGCAAGGTTTTTAATACTAAAATATCAAACAATAAACAACATTAAGAATAACTCGATTAGAGTTATTGATTTATGTTTTATAATTACATCATTATTTATTGTTTGACATTTTACTATTAAAAATCTCGCTTTGCTCCAAATTCTTTACTTTATCCTTTTAATTTTTAAATTAATCGTTTTTGTTTATTAAAGTTAAATTAAAGTTAATCTTACATTGGTGGAACGGGCAGCTCCGAGGGACTCTAATTAAATAATAACAATTACATTCAATTACCATATTCATTCGTATACGACACGCGTCTTATTTTACAGCGGAATAATTTCAGAAGATAAACGGTCTGTTTTCTGTTCCTGCACTAGACTATTCTAGGACTCTCTTTCTCGCTTTAAACAAATATCAAACGTATATCTATCTCACTTTAAATTCCGAAAGAGTACACTAGTTCAGTCACAGAAAACAGACCTAAAGATAACAAGAGAGTAGATGCTGGAGCGTCTCTCCCGCCCTGAGATTCGAAAAAGTTTCTCGATAGAAAACAGGATCGCGATTCCCCGGTCGATACGCGTTTCGAAAGGCGGCGCGGCGGCGCCACCTAACCGTGGATTCGCGCAGGTTCGCGGGTTCCGAGAACGCATCACGCTTGACGTCTCAACGTGACGTCAGTCGTTGATCGGCACGCCAACGGCACTCGACGGATACGTGAATCGCGAAGACTCGCGGGTACGAAACACGGTGCGTCACGACGATCTGTTCGAACCGCGGCGCGTGGAAGCGACGTCGTAAACGTGGGAAGGCGGGAACGTGGAGTCTCGGTGGAGGTGAAGGTACCGCGTGAAGAATCCCGGAGGCTCGGCAAAGGGTCGTCGGCGGCGCGGCAAAGTGATCCGGACGCGCCGCCCCGGCGCGCGCGCGCGGAGGACAGGGGGTGGCAGGCGAAGAAGAGGAGAAAGAGGAGGAGGAGGAGGGGGGAGTACGATCCTCCGTCCCGTGTACGACGCCATCTTCGCATTGTGCGCTCGCCGTCGCGGACGCCGTCAGGTTGACGGCACTGGTGCGATTGATCGCGCGCATACGTCGTACGTCGCTTGTGCTCCGTATACGCGCGTGCGTGCTCACGCACGCGCACACACGTACACGCGTGTTTTTATCCGAAATACGTGTGTATCACGTTGGTGGGTCTGTCTCCCACGAACGGACGGACGGGAGTCCCTGGTCACCCTACGCGAATGTAAACAGAGAGTCCTCCGTCACGCCGGATATCATGTGCGACACGGATGAGATCGGCGGCGCGGCCGCGGAGCCGTCCGCTTTGAGCTGAGCGAAGTGAAGTTGTAGGTTGTAAGCACGCGCGTGTTGGTGTGCGCGTTCCTCGACCCGGGTCGGCCGCTGTACAGAGTGGTGTGCGTGCGGGATTACCGTGAAGTGGGAACGGCAGGCCGACCGTCGGCGACCGTCGCTCCGGGCTCGCCCCGTTGCGTGTACACGGCGTCTCTCTCTCTCCTTCCCGTCTTCCTTCTCCCGAGTCTCTCTCTCTCTCTCTTGCTCGCTCGCTTCGTCGCACCGTTTCTCTCCCTCCCGCACGCCTGGTCGCCTAGGATATTCCCGATACCTGAGACGGGTTCGCGTGTGCGCGAACCACGTACGGTTCTACGTTGGCTCCGTTGCAATGAGAGACCTCGACAGGAAACTCGCGGACGGAGCTGTACTCAGGGTGAGTTATTCGTCTCGCACTCTGCGAGAGAGTTTTTTTCGCGATTGCGTATCGCGCTGCGAGGAAGACGAGAACGGCTAGGCATCGCCGACCACGTCTCCCCGTTCTGTTTACTCTGTCGTCGCTTGTGCTCGTGTTCGTTGCCAACTTTTCGCGTTTTAACACGTATCACAACCGTCGCGTCTCTGCTTTCCATCGCGAAACGTATACGCGTTTTCGCCTCTTTCGTCTGTTCATATACGCGTTATATCTGTTTTTATAGCTCAACTAGCTCGCGCGTTTGCTCTTTCAACTTGAAAGAGTTTCTTCTTTTTACCTGACTTCTTCCACGGTTCGGCGTTTTTCTCTTTTTCTCTCCAATGCGGAGAAAAAGGAAGAGAGATGAACTGTGTAAGTTCAACTAAAAAAAATTGGCCCTAAGCGAAATGGGTATATTCTATGCAGCAGAAATTCGTTCCAATGATATTGCAGTAATATTGCAACGTTTTAACTATACTGCAAACGTTGCAATAAGTCTTTTAAATGAACTTTTTGTATAACTCATCTTTTCTCTTTTTATCTCCAACGTGAAAAAAGGAGAAAAAATGAACTATGCAAAAAATTTAGCTGGAAGGAACAAGCTTAAAATTAAATGAATATATTCCATACAACATAAATTGTTTCAGTAAAGATATGTTTTTTTTTTTTGTTGAATTTCTCGCACAGTTCATCCTTTTTCTTTTTTTTTCTCTTCAACATGAACATAAAAGAATGAAAAATGATCTGTGAAGAAGATCAGTAAAAAAGAACCAGGGCCTCTATTCTTGAAAAGAAATGTATACGAAAGTCTAGAGAAATACTACAGTATACGTCACGTACACTATAATATTTTCTTAGCTTTTCGTATACATTTCTTTTCAAGAATAAAAAGCCAGGCCTAATATTGCTGCAAGCTTTTGTGCATTCTGTATGTGTAAAATGTTCAATTGACAAAAGCGAAAAGAAAAGCAGTCCAGGGTAGCAATCATGCGTAACTTTTTCCCTAAGGTCGAAACGTAAAAGGTAAATCTTTTTTCGCACTGAAAGTGATGGAGAAATTTTTCACTCTTCACGTTTCCGCCCTAAGAAAAAAAAAGTTATGGTCGCTGCTCAGTGCAGCAATAAAAAAACAAACCTGTTGTCTTGCTCCGTCGCAAATTTGTAAACATCACGTTTCAGAGAGCCTGTTTCTATCACTGTAGATTAACTTTAATCTTAGTTTAACTTTGTATCTTTTCCTAGTTCTAAGAATCGAAGAATAAAAGGGAGTAAATTAAACCGATATTATGGTTAATTTACATTGGTAGAAATGGGGAGAGATGTTCGCACTTCTTTTTTTCATTCTTGCGTGATAAACGATCTGTGGTTTTCCGAGTGCGGGCAAGATACATGCTGAGAGACCGGATCCGGTAGCGAGATTTTTCCTCGCAGGTAGCGACGGTTATTGTTATAGAATAGACGAGACGGAGTTTTTCCGACCCGGAGGGATCTCTTCCCAATGGATATCCGCGCAACAGTCGTAGGCTACACGGCTACTGAATCCCTTCCTTTCCTTCCTGAAGGTTCACGTGTTGTACGTGTTTCTTACGCGGTTGCGTTCGTGTGCGTGACTCGGTCGAGCGAGGCATGCTCTCTCTCTCTCTCTCTCTCTCTCTCTCTCTCTCTCTCTCTCTCTCTCAGTCTCTTGTTTCTCCTTCGCTTGCTCCGCTCGTTCGCTCGCTTGTAAATCGAAATCCGAGGTGCTTTTCGAGCCGCATGTTTGTCGCTCGTAAAATGCCCCACCGAGCCCGAAGGCAGAAGCAGGATGGCATACTGCTGTTTGTCTCAGGTTCGCGAACCTAAACCGACGAAGTCTTAACGTATACAATCGGTAGGTGGATAGGCAGGCAAAAGGCAGATAGGCTTTTCGTCTCGTTTTGCGGTTTAACGCGTCCGCATATTTATTCCTAATGTAAATTGAGAAACAACATCGATTTTCGGAATTCATATGTTACACAGTCATGCTTGTTTTTGCAGTATTTTCCTCCTTTCTCTCCTCCATTCTGAAATTCAAAGTGCACTTTGTTCCGTTTTAGCAGCGAGACCCATAATAGAGTACAACTGTAAAAGGAGGAGCAAGGCCCTCTCTCTTTAGAAAAAAAAAGACGTTAACATTCCCGTTTTGACGAATATACTCAGTACATTTATATGATAATACTATAAAGTATAGAAAATGTTGTATTTATGAAATATATAGAAAAAGACACATGAGATGTATGTGAAATATATAACTTAAATTTAATTAATTAATTGATTAATTTTAATTATTTTTTATTATCTCGTCTGGATTTACACGACAAGTTTCTAGCTATAATAATCGAATTGTGTTTTTTCTTCAAAATAAAAAAAATATAGGTACGTAGATTTATACATGTTACGTTAAAAAATTAAATATAAAAGAATATACAGGGCAAGTTTATATGTTGCTTTAGAAACATTAAAAATATGAAGTATGAGCAATATTGTATCTATAATATTTGCGTGTGTTTACTACCTGAAGAAAAAATCTAAAGATCTAAAAAATCTAGGGGTCAGGAGATTTCTTTTTTACCTTTGAAAATGCAGGATTTTTATGGGATTTTATCGGGACTCACGAAAATTTGTGTAATTTAATTTTTTTATTTAAATTTTGTCTGTTTCTGAAAACATTGTTTTTTTAATCATCTTTTTTATAATACAAAATGTTACAATCAACAATAAGTATGATATACACATTCGCGTGTACTTATGTTTCTATTCTTGTGTATCTCATTTTTATAAAAAAAAAACAAAATAGCAATGAAAAACAATATACATTACATGAGTCTTTCTTATACTATAGGTACTATAATATGCTGGATTTCGTGGTTTTACAATTGTAAAAAATAATAAATATATTCTCATGAAATAGCTGGTTTCCATTAATCTTCAATATATAATTTATTTGCATTGCTAACATTTTAATTAAGGTCAAAGTTAGATTAAAAAATTCTCTATTCTCTTACTTGGAATTTTGAACAAAAATATCTGGAAAATTCAAGAATTTTCTGCGAATTTTTTACAAGTTTCAGTGAACACCCTGATTCGTCTTTATTAAAATTGTCGACGTCCTGGTTCTTTCTTTTTTTTTACTACCTGATTTTTATCACCTTTCAAGGATTACTGATCAGAAATGTAATCTATTGTAATGCACATTTTACACATTCTTTTTAGTATTGTTTTCTTTTGTTATCCTTATTAAAGCATTGCCCACCCAAAAATGACCCCGACTGTGCGCATTTCTCGGAAATGCTTTTAAAGACATCAATATTACAAAAAAAAAAAATTAAGAAAATAATTAGCTGTCAGTAATTTAGTGATGCAAAATATCTCATATAGAAAAAGTTCTGAGATTTAACTTCCCAGAAAAAACTATGAATTTCGACTTTACTATGATTTATTTCTAGATTAGTCAACGAAACAGTTAATTTTATAATATAACTATTTGTAAAATATATATCGTAATATATATTTTCAATATAATTGACGGTTTCCAAAGTCTATAAAATTTAGCGTATTTTTCCAATTTATATGTTGGGTATTTATTCATTAAAGGGCAGTTCAACGTTAAATGCGCTTTCTACTTGGAGCAACAACTAATTCCAGACTTGACCATTTAATAACCAGCATTTAATTTTGCAATTTGTTAGAATTTACTTAGCGCTGGTGTGGGACTGATATTAATGAAGGTAAATTTGTGAGAATTAGGCATATTGGAGAGGTGTATAACATTTTGTGGATGCTATTGCTGCTAAGTACCTCCCACTTTATCATGCTTCACATTTTTGTAAAATTTTCTGTATTATATCAGCATTGATAATGAAACTCATAAAATGTCGAAAGATATAATGAGTACACAAAGATTTGAAAAATATTGGAGGGATGATTCTTCCATTTTTTCCTTTCATTTTTCCCATCCTATTTTTCTAATGTGGAACGCTTTTCATTTGCTATCTTCCATCCCCACCACCATCGGAGATCCTCAACGTTCGAGTCTATTGTGTACGAAAACTATTGTCCTGGTACTTCTTGTTACAGTCTTCGCGCGGTTTACAGATCGTTAGTTTCAGTCTTTAGAAATTCTTTAGTCTCATTTCTGCTTGCAAGTTTATAGGATGTCGAATACTAACTGCAGTTTAGACATTCATGGTGAGAATATAATTATAGTAATAATACATATAATTAAATTCTGTATAGAATGATAAATTCTTTATACCATACAAGTTTTTGTCCGTCACTATAGTATATACTTCTGTGAACAAATATCGGTTGCTACCATAAAATGATTTACGTCTTCGAGGTGTAATCAAAATTTAGTTAGGAAGTTAGAAATTTATTTAAATAATTTTATTCTTATTACAAAATTTAAACGTTCTCTCTCAAAATTTTATATTCACCCATCAACCTACTTATATACGTTCTTCACTGTCTCTTTTGCCTCTTATGTATTTTACAAGCTCATTTAGGTACTTCACTTGCATTACATTTACAATTCCTACGAAAGGAATAAAGATTTAAAATCATAATTATATTATTAGATATAATTCTCTTTTTGAATTTTTATCATTCCCTTTTTTCATTTCTATCATGAAAATATTTTGAATTCGCAACGGTTCTCATGTTCCTTTGTCTCTCATGGAATTACAAAAACATATTTTGCAAACATGAGAGACAAAGAAAAATACGGTCGATTCGTCGGTTATAACTAAAAAATCACTTTCTGTTATTATTTGTTGATCGTCAATCGACAATGGATTCGCGAAAGGTTCAGAATACCTTTAGAAGAGATCAGATGCTCCACTAGTCAAACAATAGCACATTCGTTAATTATATATAGATCGCAAAGTTTAGTCTCGCTTTTAGCGCATCCTGAGTGCAATGCCGTCTCGTCTTTCAGAGATATCTTGAATTATTGCAACCGAAGC